ACCGATCTTTGCTGGCGTCTGCTTCCAGCGCTGCGCTCTTAAAGCTTAAAGCTGGCCAGTTCGTGCGCATGTGCGCACGAACTGGCCAGCCTGCTTACACAGAAAGGAGCACGGCTCAGCCTCCGCCGCTGACATAATACGACTTACAGACAAGACGTTTGCCAACTTGTCCCCACAGGGTTTGTCACAAAATGAGAGTTTTTAAAAATAATCTTGGAACGATAAGACGGTTTGTGGAAACACACAGGCACAGTGTGCAATAAAGAATTGAATAAACTGTTTTAATGCTCCCAGTTCCTTATTAATGTGACGTATTGTTACTTAGACGATTAAGTGACTGCTGCAACAGGCATAGGCCATATTTACTGAGGTATCAAATGGCGATTTAAAAGCTATAGTTTTACTTTATCTAAAAAAAAATATCTTAAAAAAAAAGTGTTAAAAACTGTAAAATATTTAAGTTAGCTTTTTCTGTTTATAAGGTGGAGTTTGTGTTTAAATGCAATATCAATGGAAGAGTATCCAGAGGGGATTGTGCAATACCTTTTAGACAAACGACATTCAGTAAACAGGTGTTATCAGTGAAAGGTAGTGAGATTTGGAACAATATTTGAGCTGTAATAAGAGAATGTGCTGCCTTCAACACATTTAAAACTAATCTCAAACGATGGCTAAAGAGGAATCAGATTCATGATCACTAGCTTGATATTAATATGTGTTATCTTTAATGTTGTATGTTTTTATTTATTTGTTGTTTTCTGTTTCATTGTATTATAACATTCTTTGTTGTAATTTTATGTATTTGTTGTCTGGATTAGATTGTTGTACATTGCCTGATGGCGTGCTAAATTCCTTATTTATTGTGTTTGTCTGACCTGCCAGGGACTGCAGATGCAAAGTAGACTTTTAGCTAATTCTAGAATATTTACATTTATCCACTGTCCCTTTTAAATAAATAAACTATTGTCCTGTTGATGACCCAGTTTTATCCAGGCTTTAGCTGTCAAACAGATGGCCTCACATTTGACTCTAGAACACTTTTGTATGCAGAGGAGTTTATGCTCCACTCAGTGACTGCAAGGTGCCCAAATCATCATCCCTTCACCAGCAAGCTGACAGTTGGTCTGAGGTGTTTGTGCTTTTTGGTTTTCTCCAAAGGTGCTGCTGTGCACTCTCGACAAACATCTCCACTTTGGTCTCGTTATTCCAGAAATCTTGTGGTTTGTTCAGATGTATCTAGGGATGGGAATCAAGAACCGGTGCTTGTAGAGAGCCAGTTCCCAGTAGTTCTATTCGTTGGAAGTGTTAGCCTGCCTGCCTATCTATCCTGCTTATTGATTCCACTTGCACATGCACTACAATCAGCTGAATTAAGTGTGCAAAGTCACAGCAACAGTTGCTTTTTCACAACAACAGGTCATTTTACAGAGAAACCAGAAAGTAATGTAACAAGAATTAATGAATTACTTTCTCCTGGGAGTACTTAAGTAACATAATCCATTACTTTTAAGAAAGTAAGTAGTAGAACACTTTCTTGTTAAGCGAGACCTGCCCTCCGCTGGGAGATTGCACAATGATAAATTTACAAAAGAAAGAGCAGCTCATGAATTAACAGGCTTATGTCTTCTTCTTTTACTCTAATTGATGGGGAATGACAGATTCCCAGGAGAGTGTTATAAGTACTGAGGGAAGAATTGGTACCATTATTGCAAAAGATTTTTAATTATACTTCAAAACAAAGAGTCCATACCCCCAGAGTGAGGCAGTCATTTTGGTTATTCCCAAGAGCTGGTCTAAACAGAGTCTGTGTGTGAGTACCCTGAGTGATGGGAGTTATTCAGACCATGGCCCAGATTTGTAGGCAGGGTTTGGGTGTGGGGTGCTAATGTTTGTTAACTGTCCAAGTGGCCCAGGAGAAGAAGCTGTTTGTGAGGCTATAGTTGTGTAGTCATTGAGGCTGTCTATTCTAGTCTTTTTGTTGTTGGGAGTGATGCTGGAGGCCTTCAGACAGGTGGGAATGGTGGCGTGAGTCAGGGAGAGGTTGAACAACCTGGTGAGGATCCCTGCCAGTTGGTCCCACAGACTTTGGTCTGTGGGACCAACTGGCAGGGATCCTATAGCATACCAATGTGTGCCGCATATTGACCAGTCAGTGTAACGAGCCAGGATTTAAAAAAATATACACAAATATACCATTCTAACAAAAAGATTGGAGGAAGTGATGCCCTTTTTAATTGATGAGGATCAATCCGCATTTAGAGCTCAATGTTATTACAATAAGGGAAACGGAGTATAACATTTTTCTTCAGGCAGACAATACCATGATCAGAATTCAGAACGAGGAGTTTCTAGATTAATTAACTTGTTGCAGATGCAGGGTATACTCTTAATATTAATGTTTAAACTTCCCCTAGTCTCTCAAGCTATGAAATACTAGGAGACCTTGGGAGCTACTTCTATATGTTATTTGGGTATAAGATTATGAATGTAGTAAATTTCTATTGAAAATTATGCACATATCAATAAAAAGAGAAACAAGGCTCTTGATAGATGGGCTCTCCTGCCATTAGAACTTGAGCAGAATAATGGTGGGAAAAACTAATATCTTGCCCAGACTGCTCTGTTTGTTCTAGTTTTGCTTATCCACATCCGTGATTACCAGTTTAGAGAATGAGACAAAGTGATAAATAGATTTATTTGGAAAGGTAAATTTCCTGGCGTGAATTATAAGCTCTCCAGTATGACACAATGAGGGAGGGATGGGCTTACCAAAGACTATTATTTATCAGCACACATAAAACTGTTATACTTTGATGGAGTCAGAAAACAGGAAACTCATAGAGCTGTCTTTATTAGGCAGGCCACTGCAGATGTTCACACAGTGGCCTTTCTAATAAAGACAGACTTTATATATTATCGATACTAAAATCATCTCAGACAGATGTGAAGTTCCTCATCAAGATTTCTTCTTATATCTCCAATTCAGACATTACTTTGAAAAGAGTATCAAAGGACTCATATGAAGTATATCAACTATTACATTATTACATAGATGGCTTCTTTCACTCCTCTTCGAGTGACCCACACCTGTTTTCACACCTTAACTCATGTGATTAATCAGAAGATCAATAGCGGGTCAAAGACATGAAAGGACGCTCCCAATCTGTCACGCTGGAAAGATTCATCACAGGGCCTTTCTTGCCATGTAAAAGTCTTCTAAATGCTTGACATGAAGATAAAACTAAGTCTGTCAATTCAAAAGCACAAGAAATAAAAGTTTTACTTCTTTCATAATGGTAAGATAAAACAAAAAAAAAACATCCCATTCTCTGTTTGTTTTCTCTTCCTCCTCACCCCCAAACTGGTCACTTCTGGGATCTTCTGTTCATGAAAAGAGATTTCCTTCTCACCACGGTCTCCCTCTCTCTTCTCACCATCCTCATAGGGGATTGTTGGGGTTTCTGTCTAATCCAGTCTTGATCTCACAGTTCAAAGTGGCCTGACATTCAATATTTTGGTGCTATATAAAACTGAGCTCAAATAGATGGGCAGAGAGCAAAGAAAAGACATCAGTTAAAATCTGGCTTTGCACAGTTTTGCCTGTTTTGGTACTTCCTCATTCAGCATGTGTCTGTATGCTTTCTAAACTAGTTTGCATGGAAGCGATATTCACATAACTTTCTTGCATATTGGTATGGTGCAGGCTTCTGTTGAAACAGCTTAAATCCACTGTTTTTTCACATTTCACACCCTGAATTATAACAACAAGATTTTCTTAAAAACGTAAAACTGAAATATAATAATCTCTGACCTTCAGCTTTCTCAGAAGTGCAGTGCCACGGTTTTCTCCAGACATGGCACACAAAGTGAAGGCCAAATAATTAAATTCCTGGCCATTTTAAGTCTTTCAGCAGTTTTCAGTCATTTCAAGTCTCCTTTTTTCCTCCTTTTCAAACTTTAAACACAAGGCACACAACACCTTGCGAAGGCAATCATGCTCACATCCCATGTCTCAAATTTTGCACTAAAATCTCATCAGACAGGCTGTGAGAAGATTTGACAAATCAGACTGACAAACTGAACTAAAAACATTTCCTGTATACATTGATTTTCTTTCAGGTGAAGTTGAGAGTATATAATGATGTTTCAGTTAGCTCCCACTTTATTCTAAAAATGTAGCTTTTGTTATGCTAGTGAATTTAAAATGTTAGCACATTTAGTTCAGTTTTAGTCAACTAGAAGTCAACTGATACTTCTTGTTAAATTGACCCCAAGGCATCTTCTACCATCCACCATGACTTAAGGGGTCCCCCTGCTGGTAGATAAATACAAAGCCGTTACTGGCAAAGGGAGTTAAAACTCAGAACCTTGTTGCTGGAGTATTGAGATGGTAGTGCTAACTGCCGCCATCCATTTATCAGTGAAAGTAAATTTTGAAAGTAATCTTTTAGTTGGATGTTTGAGTTACAATCCTACCCCAGTGTTTCTTTGTGCTACAGTGAACTACTTAATAAAAAGAAATCGCTGAATTAATTTCATAAGCAAAAATTTGCAATAAAAAGTCAGAAGACTACAGCTTAAAAACAAAAATTTTACATGCAACACAAATCTTTGAAATTCAAATCTTCTACTTTACTCTGAATTTAAAATTCACTTTTCTCATTAACACTTTTTTTCCCTTGTGCTAATTTACTTAAAGTTAAAAGAACTCAATGGATTTATTTAGTCTGTCAAACATTATCATCACTGACACACTGCAGGCAGTCACTGTTTCACAAGAAGTGAACAGGAAGGGTGTAAATCTGTCGGCTTCATGGTTTAGGCTGTTTTAATTTGACCAGAGAGAATCCAGCTCCCCCAGGCCTGTTCCCAGTAAGCCCTATTCATGAGTCCCTCTATGTAGACACTACTTACCACCTTTGGAAATATAATGAATCTTTCTAAGGGATCTGCTCAAGCTCACTTTGTAAACTGCATATCAGACACAGAAAGCCATGTGGGTCTGTGTAGAAATATATTTTGCCAGAGGAATGCTACACACTTGATACAGTCTGTCCTACTTTTGGCTTCATTCCAACCACAGTAATTACAGACAGTGCAACAGGAAACAGAGAGAGATAATGTGCAGCGCGACAGACGTAATGATCTGGTGGTAAGAGTAAACAGTATCAGGTCAGTGCAGTTTGCAGAGATAAACACATTCAGCACCTTGCATATAATTTCAGTCATGCAAAACACATACAACCAGCAGCTTACGCAGACATGCAGATCACATCAGTGATTAAAAAGAACAGATGACGAGTAAGTCGAGTAACACTAAGATGTGGTCCAAAAAGGCAAAAAACAAAAAGAAACAGAGAAAGCAAACTGGAAGAAGTGAGAAGCAGACAAAAAGAAAAAAAACCCACTGAGCTGAGATGTTAGTATTTCATCTTTAGAAAGAAATGTTTCCTGAAAAAGATAATATTTCCAAATAGGAGATTTTATTTACTGTAGGTGTATAAATGCATGCAGCTCTATCTTCAACATAGCATGGGACGCTGGCATCCCGTTTGAAATGGCACAAACATGTTGAGAGAAATCAAAAAGCTGGAGATGCAATGCTTACATGCAAACAGAAGCACATCTTCATTACATGCAGACTCTGGGACACACTATACATGTATACTCATGACAATCATTATTATTACCACAGTTACTTAGTTTGTGTGCAGAGTTCTTATGAGAAATGAGAGAGATTAAAAAACATGAACAGCTTCGTCTTGTCTTTTAAAAGATTTAGAAAATCAGTGTCCTTCCTCAGTAACAAAAAGAAAACACTTAACAGTTACAACTTCTCATAATAATTAAAATTTACAAGAAACATATAAACAAGATAGTTTACATTGTTTACAGCTAGCTCAGGTTTGTCCTCCGGCGTTTGCTGGGGCTCTGCCCGGGGTCAACTTTCAGCTCGTGATACTGCATCTGTCCATCAACACAAACAGATAATACTGTGACAACAGACAGACTCCAGCTCTGGTTCATACAGTATAGAATCTACCTAGAGCAGCACCAGTGACCTAATCTAACAACACAGGCCCAGCTTCACTTTCTTACAGAGAAAACACTGAGCTTTCTCTCTGGAAACAGCGTGAAGGGGAAATGCGCAGTCAGAGGTTGAGGGCAGCTGGGCAGGATCAGGAAATTCATTCTCTGAATGATTCCTAAGAGCTTAGATGGAGCACAAGAAAATCCAGGAAAGTCTCCTTCTGAAAAACCACCACATAAACCTGAAACCTGTATCTAACCACACCTGTACAAACGACCACAGAATATAAATTACTGATGTGCTTTTAATCAGGTTACATGTGTGTGTATGAGCAGGTCTCATGTTATCTGCTGCGTGATACCTGTAGGTGTTTATTAAAGCCACACACAACACTAATGCTCAGGCAGCTGTCGACAGCAAACAGGACTATGTGCTTCATCTATCATATAAATGTGACTTTAAAATGCTTTTCTATGACTTGAATGAAAATGCAAACACAGTAAATGACAGCTGTGTGATTCACTTAAATACTGTTCTTCCAATATGTTGAAAAGGAAACATTTCCAGTATTAACTGTGTCCATGCAGTACACTGACTGAGAACTCAGGGACTGAGGCGTGAATGCCTCGTGAATGACAGCCGCTGTAGCCTGAGGATTCGTTTTGTGAAACATCCTGTTCTGAAGTTCTCCTACATACGATGTACCTCTATTTACATGCTTTCTTCATGGATTACAAAATTACCCACCACTTGAACATCAGAGGGGACTCTGGAAAGGAAGTCAAGAAGCTCGTTGTTGTCGATCATGTATGGATCACGAAGTTTCTTGGTGAACTTATTCACACCTGCAGAAAAAACAACTGTTTGAGGACTAGCAGAGACCAAGCAGTCCAAGCTGAGACTGAGTCACCATGGTTCATTACATGATATAAATACAACAACACTAAGGCAAGATCTACAAGATCTTTTTGGTAACCATCAAATCAAGTTGCTTTGATAAAGTCCCATGTAAAAATGCTCATTTGCACTATGAATTAAGATGGTTGCAGCCTGGTATTTTAAAGAATGCCATAACTAATATAGTTTTTATTCTATTACTGTGTTACCTGGCAATAAGTAGCAGGTTTCTCTTCCAGGAAACTGCTTGCTTTAAAAGCTAACTCTACTCTCACAAATATGGTCCAAAAACCAACATGGTGAGCATAAATCATTTAGAACATAGAGCCCAGAAGATAGAAACAGGTGGATGTTTATCTAATTGGATTCCCATTAGATTAGTTACAAGTTTACCCACAACCTTAAAAAATAAAAATAAAATATGAGCACTAAGTATTTCATTAAACATCTAGAAGGGCAGAGACCTCATCCCCCTAAAGCCAGGACCATATTTCATAATTTTGAGGTAAACGATCTGGAGCCTCACAAAAATGTAACTGAAACTCCCTTTCTCGTGCACCAGCTCTACACCAACATAGCGTAACATTTTTTTGTCTGTGTGTGTAGTCGTCTGTGTGTTGTGAAATCAAGACTCACCCCATGCAAGCACGAGGTATCGTAAAGGTATGAGGTAGAGAAGAAATGTGGCCAAACACAAGGCAGTGATTGCCAACCAGCTTAGAAAAGGCACGGTCCAGTTAAAAGTGCTGCGGGTAGAAAAGGACAAAAGAGCTCATTAAAAAAAAACATTCAACTGGATGTATGTGAAAAATCACAAGTCACACCTAACAGCTTCACAACAAACAGCTGCAAAAAGGAATCAGAGAGGAAACTTGTTAACCCAGAAAACATACTTCTTCACTCTCTCTCCAAAGGACGCCACCTCATCCAGAGCATTCTGAACACTGATAAACACGTCCTGAATGGCGTACAGTTTATCCATAAAGCCTTTGGGCTCTGAGTCCTGACAGGGACAGGAGAAACATCATGAATACATAGGCATCATAGGCATGACTGTCCAGATGGTGATTGTGAAGTAATCTTTCCGTGTGTTTGTGTAGGAAAACACATCTTGACTTTGGAAGCCTTATCTTGGTTTTGAGGAACCTGAGACAGCTAGCTAGTTGTTCTTTCTAAAATGTCAGTCAGCAGCATCTAAACCTTCAAAATAAAAGCCCTAAAGACCTTAAACTCTTTAAGGACTTGAACTTTGTAAGACTGTACACAAAAAAACTTTTTCTTAAATGTTTGAAACACTTGTACTACATAAATTTCTAACAAAGAGCTATTATTATTATTACGAGGTTAATGGTCACAAGAATGCCAGATGCTACTTTTGCATATTTGCCTTCATATTTTTTAGGAAACTAATATTATATAATGTAATACTGAGCATGCAGATAGGCAGAAACACATTTTTATCTTTGAAGGCCTAAAAGGCAATCTGGGATAAGCCAAACACCTGTTTTCCTCTATTAAGAAGTCTCTCGGTTAATATTACATATTAATGTTTATAGTTTTAAAACATCATTACCTTTTCCTCTTTATCATCTTCATCAACTTCCCATTCAAACATGCCATCCATGGACTACAACAGAAAATGAAGCGATTATAACGTTGTCTGAAAGAGGAGCGCTTATAGAAGGCCTGCGTTTTACTTGTTTTCTCACCACATCAGCTCCATCCCTGCTGGAGCAGAAGAAGTAGTTCCACACAAGTAGAAGCAGCAAGGCTAGTGGCAGCATGTAGAGCTCAAAATTCCACACCACCACCACAAACAGCTAATAGAAAGCAAAACAACATGACACTCAGTAGATCATTCATCGGTCATGTGTACAGGGATGTGTGTGTGTGCATTACTGCCTTTCATACCACAAAGGAGACAATGCTTCTCTGTGCAGACTCCCATTCAAAGCAGCTGTTGATGAAACTTCCCCAGCTAATCAGCACCATAATGCAGCGCTTGACTCTGTTGAAGTTCTGCTGGAGCAACTGAAAGACACAAAGATGTTTCTAAACATTTCAGTTGTTACATGACCTAAGCTGTTCCCCCGAGGATGTATGCTTGGACCACTCGTGTTCATCATTTACATACTGTCACAGATAATCCTCAACCATGGCTTAACTTCCTCTTCTGTGCAGACGATTAGCAGCTCTATATAACTACCAAACGCTCTGCCTAGCAACCCCCTTGATCCCTCTTCACTTATTAAATGTCCTTAGGATGTAAACACCAACAATATAGAGCTCCTGGTTGTGGCAATGCTTCAGAATTAGATTTACCTCTTCTAGTTCGTCTAGTTAAAGGCTACGTCTATGGTTACCAACAATGGTCCACACTCTGAGCATCATCCTGGAGTGCTCTTGTGACCAACATAACAATATAGAATAGAAAAGAAATATGCGTTATTGTCCCTCATTGGGGAAATTCAGAAATTCAGCAAAGAGACAGGCAGACGGAGCACGCAAAATCACACAGATTAATTAAAAAAAAAAAACAAGAAACAAGAGACTGTACGGAGCAAATTTACAACATAAAAAAATACTGTACAGCTATTAAAAATAGCATATTCAGATTCAAAGAAATATGCAGCTGATTAGGATAATTAAAAAAATGTACAAATATATTATATATTACACAATTTCCTTAGGGATTATTAAAGTATTCTGATTCTGATATAGATACAAATATATACTTTTAGCACATAGTTGGCCTTCACTTTCCTTTCACATTGTCCTTTCTACTGGAAGTCCTGACAGTCCCAGTGACTCTGCAGTCATGGTTCACAAACACTCACATATGAAGTCCTGTATCTAGACTGGCTCCCACTAAAGTATCACAAAGACACAAGATCACAACAAAGTCTCTCTCCTCCTCACTCAACATCTCTTGAACCTTGTTCATTTCTACATCCTTCCCCCCCAACCCAAACTAACCTAAACATTGGGAAAATGACAGATCCCTTGGCACTTTGGAAAGTTTTCCTCTTAACACCAGAAATCTTGAAATCTATGACCCTTTTCAGAACCTTTACTCATATTTGTATTGTACTGGCTGGTTGTTTTTTAGTCTCAAGTTATAGAAGAATGATAAGTTTTGTCACCGGTTTGAAAAAACATCAGCAGGAAATACTGATACATACTTGCTTGGAGACTTTTGGTTCTTCTTCAATATATTTCTGTTCTGCAGGAACCACAGTCCTCAAAGCAGCTTTAACCTTAAAAAAGAGAAACACACAATACGGTCTGGCATAACATTTTCTATCTGGTCCAGGAGTTTGTAAAAAGTGGATGTACGTATTGTAGAGGTTTTACATTTTTATTGATTACATTTAGAAGCCAAAAACCTTCTTGACATAAATGTCCTGAAGAACTATGTAAATGGTAAATGGCCTGTATTTGTATAGCGCTTTTACTAGTCCCTAAGGACCCCAAAGCGCTTTACACAATCAGTCATCCACCCATTCACACACTGGTGATGGCAAGCTACGTTGTAACCACAGCCACCCTGGGGCGCACTGACAGAGGTGAGGCTGCCGGACACTGGCGCCACCGGGCCCTCTGACCACCACCAGTAGGCAACGGGTGAAGTGTCTTGCCCAAGGACACAACGACCGAGACTGTCCAAGCTGGGGTTCGAATCGGTAACCTTCCGATTACAAGGCGAACTCCCAACTCTTGAGCCACGATCGCCCTGTAAAACCACAACAAAAGCCAGCCTAAAGTCTTGCTTTGCTTAGTTCTAAAATGAGCATTCACAGCACAGCGTGACTCTCACAGCGTTGTAGATGACATCAATCTCTAGGTAGATGCACCCTTTGGTCGGTGCTGTCAGCTCCTTATTTTTCAACAGGTATCCCTTCTGCTCGCCATTACGAACCTAAAACACAAAAACATAATTGGGTTTGGCTTTAGTTACTTTAACTGGTTATCGATTGTGGGGGTTTGTCTGTATTAATGTAGTCGCTTTACCTTACAATACAAAGCGCCTTAAAGCGACTTTTGTTGTGATTTGGTGCTATATAAATAAAAGTGAATTGAAACTGAACTGATTCTCTGTGATTCAAAAAGACTTTTACATGCTCAGTGGATGCATGTAAGACCAATCTAATGGGCATTCTCTGTTTTTTTAAGCACCTTGTAAGCTTTCAGTTTTCATGCTGCTATTCAAGGTACTACAAGCAATAATAACAGTCCAGCTACACACATGACATTTTGATCATTTGAGTTTCTGAATAAGTTTAGTATACTAAACATCCGCAAAATAGCTACTACAAGAATGAACTCTTTTTCTTTTCAAAGCCTGTCTGGGTTTGTTTTATATCTTAAAGATAGGAGCATCGTAACGTTGGTACTTGTGCCAACTCAGCCAGCTGTAGCTTATTGCTGTTCTCTAAGTCTCAGAGTTTCTGTGTTGATGGCTTCTTAACCCCTTTAATGAAATGATCAAACACATAATATGGCTTGCTATGTGGTGCTACCACTCTAAGAACTGTGTGCTATAGATTTGGAGAAATTCCAATATTTTCTTTGTCTGAATCGTTTGCACAATTTGCCTAGTGTCTGTTCATTACACCCATACAGCTGGATGCAACTCAACAACCAAACATGTTAGCACTTTACACACATACACATCGTGTGTCTTTCATATACTTTTATTACACTCACATTCAATAATGGAATTGCCACTTTTCCCAGGAAGTCTGCACTCCTGTCTCTGTCTTCATCAAACACTGTCACCTCCAACACAGAGTGAATGTCTTTGACATTACTGAGGAAAAAGGGGAAAAGTATGGTAAATGGACTGGTTCTTATATAGTGCTTTTCTACTCTAACTCAGCACTCAAAGCCCTTTATACAACTTGGCTCATTCACCCATTCATACACGCACTTTTTTCTATGCTCTTACTATGTAAGTGCTTTCTATCTAACATTCACACACATTCATATAGAGACAGATGCATCAGACAGCATCTTGGGGTTAGTATCTTGCCCAAGGATATTTGGCATGTAGATGGGGAAGAGAAAGACGGAACAGTTCATATGTGGAAATGTATTCAATATTTGGGAAGTGGCATCCCCTGCAGCTTAAGAAAAACTATCTATGAACACTATAACTTTTCTTGAAATTAATAAACCCATCCTTCACCCTTAATATAATGCTGTGTACCACAGCTTTGATCCTGATGTCAACTGTGAGTACGCTAAAACAAAAAGTTATCTAAGAGCTCTGTCAGAATGAAAGACAACAAGGCCAGAGGAAATGGCTGACGTCCTGTTGATTGATGTGTCTGACTGAAAATCAGATTTTGTTTTGTTTCTGATTGGCTACAGGAGGCTTTCAAAAGCAGCGCTAGTTCCACTTCTATTGGCATCCACCTCAGAAATCACCAGTCGGTTTGGCTCTACTTCATACATCGCTCGTGGAGAAGCTCATACAGAGATACTCATTCTTAGGGCTGGGTATCGGCTCTGATTTCTATAACTGATGGCCAATGCGATTCAATTCAGTTAGATTCAGTTTTGACTCAGACAGTCAAAAATATTATAATTTGATTATTTATCAGCACATATCCATATTTTATATCTATGTATAAAAACAAAGCTGACACTTATGAGACTTCCACAGAGGCGTAAGCATCACAGTAGATGCCTTTGTGTCGAAGTAACTGAGGATAAAACACAAAAACATAAAGGAGATTTTCCTGGCCTGGCTTGTTATAGCAGATAACCCCGTTAAAAATATTCTGCAGTAGATCATGTGGAGCAGGGAAATTATTTTACTGCTATTGTTAAATAATTGTCATCATTACCATTGCATTAATAATATAATCTGGAGTTTATATTGCATTCAGGGGTTGAACAGTGTGTGTCTTTCAGAAAGGCTAAAAAGTCACAGGCTGACAGGAAACAGGCTTGCAGAGAGTTGCAGAAGCAGGAAGTTATTTTGAGCAGCAGGCTAAGACGAGGCTTTAACAATGTAACAGACAGCTTTAAGAAGGCCTTAAGCAGTTATGACTATTTTATACACAATGCATATCTGTGCTTATTAAAGAGTTGGAGCTCGGTCAATTAATTGGGGGTCGGAAGCTTTGTTCGGCGCGATGTTCGGACAATCTATTGTGCAAGTGACTTGGAGCCACAGAAGGAATTGCAATACATGCTTACAAAACACTTATATATCAGATCATTTTATATTAAGCTTTTAAGTAGAGGTTCTTGGTTAAAACATTTATTTAGTAGAAGACATACACATAGTCTCAGTGAGCCTCTGGTCTAGTGAAAGCTCAGAAGTGCAACAGGTGAATTGAGAAAGAGCATTTGAGGACGAGACACAATTTTGAACCTTAACAATCAAAAACAGAGAAAAACCATGAATCAATATATGAACATTACCTGATGCTGGTTACAAGTTACAGAGGTTTTATTAGAGACACAGCCTAGCATTTTGTAGTTTGGCATGATTTGTAAAAGTTTACATTTCTTTGGTATTAAACAGCAGAAATTAGGCTTTCTTATTGGAGGTCATTTTTTTAAAAAAGGGAAAAAAACAAAACTGGGGCCGACAGCACTGAACACAACGGGAAACTGGTGCGTAATAAACAAGCGAATAATGCAGAAAATAGAGATTTTTTATGGTAAACTGGTAAATTCACGACAATGTTTTTTTGTGAAGCGCAGTTTTGACCTTCTTTTGCTGCTGGTTCAGTGAATTGGGTGGGAGTGACGAAACCTGCAGCATCAGAATCTGTGAGATGCCTCTTTCAGCACGCTATGGTGTGTCTGTGTACGTGCCACCATATTAACATGGGGATTCACACTTTGTGTTTCCATCTTTGTGCTGAATCTGCTTACTGGCTCTTTAATCATTTGCTGTTTTAGCTGTTTGGTGGTTGTTGAAATGATTTCCGGAGCTTTAACCTGAGATTCTGGCTTTACTGGCAAAATTACATTCATATTTAAAAATCACATTCTTCAAATTAAAATCGATTTGAGTCGATTTTTTAAACCCACCCCTCCTCATTCTACTCATCCATAAACTTTTTCCTCTGACAGCCAAGAAGGCTATATATGTATCACAAAAAGCATCCAACTCAATAATCATCATCTGTGTCACCTGCTATTTAATGAGCTTGATTTGTTAACAGCTTATCTGCACTGAGCAAAGATTCATGAAGTCACAAAATTGCCGTGAAGTCACTAAGGCTTCAGTAACAGCTAAAGGTCCAGGTTCTTCTACTACCTAATTTAGTAGCAACACACAGAACAGTTACTAGAAAACCATAACCAATAAAATACAGCAAAGTGGCAATTTTCATGCATATATATTTTTAATACAAGGAGTTGAAACAAAGGAAATGGTTTGCTTTTTTCCTGGTTTTCACTGATAAATGTCAACTCACAAGGTGAAGACTTTGTTCCACTCTGGATTGAGGTTCTTGTAAACGGTGTGTGTCTGCAGCCTGTCATTGTTCAGCTCCAGCACACAGAAAGGGTCACTTTTACCTGAGCGACCAATCAAGATAATGATAATGGATGAATCACAGTAAGAATGAAGAATAATGCAAAGTATTATGAGCAAGCAAAGGCAAGAAATCAGAGTCATTTTTTCATTTACCGGTTACATCTGCAACCATGAGACCTTCTGCTCTCATCACCTTCACCTGTACTATGCCCACATCTTTTAAGTTAAAGAATGACTTCGTCACACCCTGCACAAGAAAATTGAGCACAACAGTGTAATATGTGTGTTAAGATGGTGTAGTTATTTCATCTGAGTTGCCCTCAGCGTGCTGCTTACATATCGTTGGAGTATCTCTCTACGCTCCTGTGGGTCATCTAGCGGGGTCACAGAGAGGTCGGCGATAGAGACAGCAGCCGAAGCGGTTAGTGTGACCAGCAGCACAACAAAGCCTTGAGACTCCTCTAGTGGCAGCTCCAGGTGATGCGTCTGCTCCTTAGCAAGAGTGGAGAGGTCCAACTGGCAGCTGAACCACATTCAAAACAAAACACACCGAGCTAATGAGCTGAACATTTAAGTAAAAATGAAGTTTGAACCAAAAACTGTTGCTATCTATCTATCTATCTATCTATCTATCTATCTATCTATCTATCTATCTATCTATCTATCTATCTATCTATCAACACACAGACAGACAAACAGACAGATTGGGGGGCATTGCCCCCGAGTGCTCCGATCAGCACAGGTACCACTGTCACTGACCACTTCCTTCACCCCTTGGTATTTCTCAACATTGTAATGTTCCTATGCCTGATGTTGCTCTCACTTGGTATAGTTACATGTATCTTCCTTATCTGATTCTCCACCACAAACATGTCCAGTTGGTTAGCCATCACCATCTGCATCTGAAAGCTCGGACATTCTCAACCACCCTAGGAGGCGTGTCCTGCTTTGACCTCTGGTAGGATTTCTTGATATCAGCCTCTTCTTCTGTCTGTCAGTGGTACATGCAGGCAGGGGCCTATCCTTTCATGATGGTTCTTTCTCTTTTCCTGTTCTTTCTCAGGTTTCTGATACCTGAGGTATTCACTAAGCACATGATCATTTGTGGCCATCATCCTGATGTATTCATGGATTTTTGCTGTTTTATCTGCTGGACTTGGGGTGAAACCCTTCATGCATGGTAAGGAGCTTCCTTGTCTTGATGTCAGTGGTTTCCCTCTCCTCCTTTGGCGGCCTTATTACCCAGCAGGGTATCTGATGACTGGCGGGCGTAAGTGCTGATTGTCTGGATCTTGTCCTACCGATTCAGCTGACTCCTCAGGACTTGCCTTACTCTCTGGAGGTGTTTGGTGGTTGAGTTTTTCCTAGCAGTCTCTTCATGGTTCCCATTTGCCTTTGAGCTTCCAGTATCAGTATCTCGTTCGTTCCTGTGATACAGCTTGATGTCATCCATGTAGAGGAGGTGACTAATGACTCCTCTTTTCTGTAGCAGTATCCATAGTTAGGCTTGCTGATGTTCTGGCTGAGAGGATTTAGGCCTATGCAGAACAGCAGTGGGGACAGAGCATCTTCTTGGTAAATCCCACACTTGATGGTGACTTGGTTTGGTTTGAAGTTGAACTCTAGTATTGTTCACCACATCCTCATTGAATGCTCTTCGGGTCCTGTTGATCTTGAATAGGTCTAGGGATTCCAGGATCCATGTGTTAAGCACTGACACATGGGTAAAATAAAATCCACTTTCAAACTGAGAGAAATTACATTACACTTAAACACTAGCATTTGTGAAATGTCAAATGTTCAACATGAATTAGAAATCAAAATCCTTTCTCCCAATAAAATAATAGCACACATTTCTGAAGCTTGTGTCCAAGAATGAGAACACAGACAGAACATTAAACACCACCTAACTAATGCCACCTCACTAACACCTATTAAAAGACAGTTTTTTCTCCATCACTTTTGCCATCTGTTTTCTCCTAGGGGACTGTTGGCTTGTTAGGTTTCTGTCTGCAATAATATAGGGTATTTACTTTGATAACGCTATATAAATAAAGTTGAATTCACACAGAAATCACCCAAACATAAGTAGAGACTGACCGCCCAATGAAATCGTCCCTTCTTCCAGTGTCTTTGTCCCACACCGTGATCTCTAGCACCCCACCTGTCTCTTCATACAGATGCAGGTCAAACTGCTCCCTCCACTGTGGGCTCAGGGTCTTTGGCACTGTCTAGACACACACACACAAATACTGACACATCTCCTCATTTGAAAGAGCTGGGCTTCAAACATGAAAGTATGACCTTAGTTGCACATGCTGTACCTTGCTCTTGTATTTCTGGGGCCCGAGTCTGAACTTGACATATGGGTCACTCAGACCGTTGGGATCCATGGGCATGAGGTTTCGACCCTCGATTAGTGCGATGCTGACTATCCCTCGCCAGAGCTGGGCTTTTCGATGTAGCTCTGACAGACGTATAGACTGCTGCTGCTGGGCCACACACACACACACATACATAACTTTATTTGCCACATAGTAACAACAAGAACACAATGCAGGGCTCTGTTGTTCCTGCTCTAAAAGATGATGATCAATCAAACCTCGAATCAGGTTGCTCTAAGGTAAATACAAAAATTAAAAAAACTGCCAGAATAGAGGTAAAGTAGATAAGTCGATAAAGTCCAACAGCCTTGGGATTGGAGAAAAATAGATATTTATTTAAGATTTTTGTATGTTATCAGGCCATACATAAAGGATCCATAAAGTGAATTTCTTGAAAACTGACTCTGTTTTTTAATTCACTTTATGAACATTTTATTGCACAATTAGAATATTTTAGTGCTGCAGTAGCAAAATAAAATTTTGTGTTCAGCACATGTGCTTTTTATGTCTTTACTACACAAGTTTACTCAGCTGAGTTCAAACCCAATAGAGAAATGCAGAAATGTTTTCTCTGAGCAGATCCTTTTGTTTATGTCAGGAGGACAAACTGCTGGACATACTCATGTCAGGTACTTCTAGTAACACCTTTCTACTGAATTTGAGCAGTTAAAGCACTTTCTATTACAAATCCCATTCCACCAATCAAGAACACACATTCATACAGGCCTTTTATCTACATAAGCACTTTGTATTGCTTTCACACAAAATCCACCAACCTTTTAAATGGTAGATGATGCCAAAGGGGTTTGCATTTCCTTGATCTTGGGAAAATAATATTGTCCTCCTTATTTCTATATATAATATAGAAATATGGCTAAATAATGTAAAATAATACGATCATTTGAACTGAAAGTTATTCGATTCCTCTCATAAACCTCATAGGAGGCAGTTACTGTACAATGTCTAGACATTGCCTACGCCGGTATGCCATCTGTACAAACTGCCTTTCCACTCTTCCTGCTCACAAGTCTCTTCACATTCTTCAACTTTTCTTTGTTTGCTCCTTTTATGGGCATCTTTGATTAGTAAAGTTTATTCAAACAGGAGACAGAGCATTTATTGGGGACATGATTAAAGATTAGTAAATCATCCAACTTTTATTTGAAGAAGTAAGGAAGAGAATTAGCTTGGCCTGATAACACCATGTTAACATGGATGAAGAACAGAGCCCTGGTGGCAGATAGTGGGTGGAAATGACAGCAGCAAGAGCAAAATATCTCTCGTGATAAAAATATGAACTCAGTAGGGGAAAAAAATCTCTGACACAAGATGGTAACAAGGCTGTCAAGGTAAAGACACAATAAAGTGAAGAGCAGAGTGATAAGCATAAAGCTGTAAGGACAGTTTAAGGAAAGCTGTTACTGCATGCACAGATGATGATGATGATGATGATGATGGGCATGGTGATTATTTACCTTAGTGGATCGTTTCCAGGACCTCCTGAGCAGCATAGTCTGAATATACATAAAAATGGATTATTTCTACTGACTTATGCAGGGTGGAAAAGTTGAATGGATAGCTGTAACTAAAGGGCTGCAAAGTGTGTCTGCATTTTTATTAAATAATATGAAAACAGCCAAAACCTCTTTCATTTAAATAGGGTACCATTGTGTTTAAGCCACTAGGGGAAGCTGTAGGATGGGGTTCTGTTAACTAAATGGGAAATAAAACTAAGGGGAGGTGTCCTGCTTCAATTAAGCTTTATAAATAAGGCACCAAAAAAAGAGTCTACCAAAAAAAAAAGATCTTCACCAGAACTGAGCATTCATTATCTCAGCCTCAGCAGTGTGCCAATTAGAGCCAATGAGACTTTGATCTGTCCAAGCTTTGATTTGAGTGTCATGGTTTTCTGTCTGTTGTTGTTTGTTGTCTTCCTTTCTCTCCGTCTCCCTCCAACTCTCTTTTTACTGCTGTTTCTCTGTATCTGTATCTCTGGCTGCAGCTGGAGAACAAATTCAGACTTGGCCTATTATGAATTTATGTGTTGAATTAAACATGAACAAGATGTGCTGTTTTTAATATCTCAGAGCTGAGGATACAGTTGGAAACCATCTCTTCATGCAGCTCCATTTAACTGAGCAGAAACTATAATCACAGCTGAGCAGACCAAAATAAATAGAATTACTGAGTTTATTCAATACAGTGCAGTCTATGTCTGCTGTATGCAGCTGTTTAAAGAGTTCTCTCCAAAGCCATCCTACTACACTTCTTTGTATTGGATTATGTTAAAGGTTAGCCCTGTCAAGTTGAGCAACTTGATTCATTTCATATCAAGTATTATAGGGCAAGGTTTTGTTTGCAGAGTTGGACAGTATAGCAATGTTAGGAAGTCAGTACAGAAAGAGAAAACAATATGTTATTATCGTGTTATAATCATATTATACACTGCTTTTCTGAAACACAAGTAATATATAAAGATGAATGTCAAGACAGCTCCACCTAATGTAATACAGAAATGGGCACTCGCATCTCACACGGCCGACCCGATTGCAGCAAGAGTCAACTAGTGCTGTGGACAACGTTTCACAAAGTTAAACTTTTGCTTTTTACATAATACGGAATCCATTCATTGTGAAACATTGTGGGGCAATGTCACCACATTTTTTAAACATTTAAGGGAATTTTCATGAATAAAAACTGAGCTGGCTGCTGAGCGGAAAGACAAGCCTAGATGGGGATGCTGATATGTAACTCTAGCAACCGAACTGTGCAAAAATACCTCCCTTTAATTTGTTACATTTTGTTTGCAATGATCTCTGTTCTACAGCTTTCTGGAGGTCTTTCAAAGTTTTTCACTGATTTTGGCTACATTTTCACAAACTTTCTTCTTTGTTCTTTAATTGAATCTATGGAAATGCTAGATGTTGGGGTTTGGGGTTGAACTTCACCCAGATTTTGGGGATCTTGTAAATATTGATGAATTTTGATCCATCAGACACAATACTACCTGGAAAGCATCTAATCAGCAACACTTTTTTTTTCAGCACAGTAATTAACTAAAACACACTGCCAACACAGTGAGAGTTTACCTGGATGGGGAAAAAAAGACACACAGTGGTACACTATTACTCATGCACTGGTCTCCCCAGAGTCTGAACCTAAGCAGTATTGAAGTAGTATGGAATGATCCATATAGAAAACAGAAGAAAAGGCAGAAATATATAAAAAAGAAACGCCTTAAATGTCCTTCAAGAAGCCTGGAAAACTATGGCTTTCTGAAGGCTCCTTTCTGAAGAAAGCTGCCTCAGAGTTTATGCTGTGCTTTTATTTTATTTTATTAATTTTATTAATAAAATACATTTTCTTAATATTATTCTTATTCTTATTTCTTAATTATTAGTATTAATTTTAATCTAATATGTTTGCCCACTAACAATGAAAGGTCAGTCTATAATTTCAATGGTAGGTTTATTTGAACAGTGAGAGACAGAACAATAACAAAAAAATCCAGAAAAATTCATTTCCAAAAAGTTATAAATTAATTTGCATTTTCATGAAGGAAATAAGTATTTAAGGCCTCCCTATCAATCAGCAAGATTTCTGGCTCCCAGGTGTATTTTATAGAGGTAATGAGCTGATATTGGGAGCCTCAACTTGTTACCTGTATAAAAGACAGCTGTCCATAGAAGCAATCAATCTATCCAGATTCCAAACTCTGCACCACGGCCAAGACCAAAGAGTTTTCCAAGGATGTTAGGGTCAAGATAGTGGACCTACACAAGGCTGGAATCAGCTATAAGACCATCACCAAGCAGCTGGGTGAGAAGGTGACAACAATTGGTGTGATTATTCACAAATGGAAGAACTATAAAATAACTGCCATTCTCCCTCGGTCTGGAGTTTCAATGATAATGAGAACGGTGTGGAACCAGCCCAGAACTACTCAGGAGGAACTTGTCAATGATCTCAAAGCAGCTGGGACCATAGTTACCAACAGTTGGTAACACAGTATGCTGTGAAGGACTGAAATCCTGCACAGCCCGCAAGGGCACCATTTGAAGCTGCTACTGAACATCTCAATGATTCAGAGGAGGACTGGGTAAATGGTAAATGGCCTGCATTTGTATAGCACTTTACTCAATCCCTAAGGACCCCAAAGCGCTTTACACTACATCCAGTAATCCAGTGATTAGTGGCTGACCTGCTCTGCCACCTGAGCTACAGCCACCCGTGAAAGTGTTGTGGTCAGATGAGACCAAAATTGAGCTATTTAGCATCAGCTCAACTTGCCGTGTTTGAAGGAGGATGAATTGCTGCCTACGACTCCAAGAACACCGTCGTCACCGTCAAACATGAAGTTGAAAACATCATGCTTCGGGAGTTTTTCTGCCAAGGGGAGAGGACAAGTGCACTGCATCAAAGGGAGTATGGATGGGCCCATGTTCCGTCACATGTTGGGTGACAACCTTCTTCCCTCAGCCAGGGTATTAAAAATGTGTCATGGGTGGGTATTCCAGCATGACAATGATCCAAAACACATGGGCAAGCCAACATGGATTGGCTCAAGAAGAAGCATATTAAGGTCTTGGAGTGGCCTAGTCAGTCTCCAGGCCTTAATCCCATAGAAAATCTGTGGAGAGAGCTGAAGGTTTGAGTTGCCAAACATCAGCCATGAAACATTAATGACTTGGAGAGGATCTGCAAAGAGGAATGGGACAAAATGTGTGCAAAACTTGACCTACAAGATATGTCTGACATCTGTGATTGCCATCAAAGGTTTTGCCACCAAGTACTAAAGCTTTAAAGCAGAAATTTGCAAAGGGATCAAATACTTATTTCCTTCATGAAAATGCTAATTAATTTATAACTTTTTTGAAATGCATTTTTCTGGATTTTTTTTAATATATATTGTTTTGTCTCTCACTGTTCAAATAAACCTACCATTCAAAGGTATGGCTATTTGAGGTTTTAATCTTTTTTTCCTGACTGTATGTAGAAAGTGTCTGCAGTCCAAAAAAAGTAGTGGAGCAGCATGTAGCTAAGGAGATCATTATCGCCCTCAGGGATTGGTAGGCTCTAAAATCAGAGCACTGTAAATATTGAGTGATTATGTGGAAATAAATCACAGAACTCCATATGACTAGAAAAAACACAAAAAATTGTGTTTCAGTGGTGTTTCATTCATTTCGAGAGTTTTTGTCTTTCAGTGGAGTTTTTGGTGTCTCATCGAAACAACAACTGTGACAGTATTTATATGTCAGAAAATCAAGCCTACTTTGATGAGGCTCCACATATTTGCCTTACTATAGTCAGTTTTCTGATTATTGCGAGAGCCAATCAGCCTGCAAAGACTCATCCATAAAGTCGGATTAGGAACTAAGATATTTGTTCTCTATAATCCCAAGTGAAACAACCATATGTTTGTGGTGTTAAAAATGTTGAAATTTAACAGCCAGCAGATATATCAGAAAAGATGCTACCCTTTTGCAATTTGAGATTAAAAGTTTGCTTCAAAATAACGTTTATGTAAAGACCCAGGAAGAATTTCATCTTAGCCTTTTGATCACTGGTGCAGGAAAATATAGTAACAGTGTTTATAATTCATGCTGATTTTATTTTATTCATAAGGGGTGCTGAGAAAACATGAAGCCAAAAGATGAAGATAAAAAAAATTGAGAAAATGCTTTGAGAAACCTGAAAGTAAACATCGAAAGCTACAAAGACAAACTGACTGCACAAAAGTTATTACTAGCCTATACAAGTCTGACAGATGACTCTACTGCATTGTGCTCTCTATCGTGACTCAAAGCAGCTACTCAACTAGAGGTGACCTAGGAAAGGGTCAATCAAGGTGAAACTATGGAAAAGCACTAAGAGCCTGATCACCACTACACTTACTTTATGCACATAATGTTTTAGTCCATACTTCTTAACCTCCATCTGCAGCAGGAAACATAGAGACCCATCTTTACTGAAGGACAACAAAACTAAAATCAACTTCAAAGTTGATTTTTTTCCTATACATGTGCAAACCTGGAAAGTAACTAAATGTTTTGGGTTTATTAATAATAACATAATTATTAGTAAGCTACTGTATGCCAATTTTTCAATTCAATTTTATTTATACAATGCAAAATCACAATAACAGTCGCCTAAAGGTGCTTATATTGTAAGGTAGACCCTACAATAACATACAGAGAAAAACCCAACAATCATATGGCCTCCTATGAGCAAGCACTTTGGCGACAGTGGGAAGGAAGAACTCCCTTTTAACAGGAAGAGATCTCCAGCAGAACCAGGCTCAGTGAGGGGCGACCATTTGCCGCAAACAGTTGGGGTGAGAGAAGGAAGACAGGACAAAAGACTTGCTGTGAAAGAAAGCGTTACTCTGAGACAGCATATTTCTAATTTTAGAGATTGTGCAAATGGAAGAAAGCAGTTCTACATATTTGTTTAATATGTGCATTGAAGGACATATTCTGGTCAATAATAACTTCAAGGTTCCTCACAGCGTTACTGGAGGTCAAGGTGATGCCAACCAGAGTAAGAATCTGGTTAGATACCATATTTCTAAGATTTTCAGAGCCGAGTACAATGACCTCAGTTTTATCTGAATTTAGAAGCAGGAAATTAGACCTCTAATTTTCTACTTCAATCTTGCTTCCAGGTCTTTATGTCTTTAAGACATTCCTGCAGTTTCAAATTGATGTGCGTTATCTGGCTTCATAGATAGATAAAGTTGGGTGTCATTGCATAGCGATGAAAATGTATGCTATGCCTTCTGATTATACTGCCTAAGGGAAGCATGTAAAATGTAAACAGAACTGGTCCTAACATGGAACCCTGTGGAACTCCATAACCTTAGTGTGTGAAGTGGACTCACCAAGGAGATGAACAAATTGGAGTCTATTAGACAGATATGATACAAACCACTGCAGGGCTAATAAAATAATAAAATATTATGGCCAACTGTATAGAACACTAAGGTCTAGCAGGACAAGCACAGAGATGAGTTCACTGTCAGACGCCATAAGAAGATCATTTATAACCTTCACTAAAGCTGTTTCTGTGCTGTGATGAGCTCTGAAAACTGACTGATACTCTTCAAATAAGCCATTCCTCTGCAGATGATCTGATAACTGTTTTACAACTACTCTTTCAAGAATTTTTGAAATGAAAGGAAGGTTGGAGATGAAGGCTGGCCTATAATAAGCTAAGACTGCTGGGTCTAGAGATGGCTTTTAAAGTAAAGGTTTAACAACTGCCAGCTTGAAGGCCTGTGGTACATAGCCAATTATTAGAGATAAGTTGATCATATTTAAGATTGAAGCATTAATTAACTGTGGGACTTCTTTGAACAGTCTTGTAGGAATGGGGTCTAAAAGACACTTAGATGGTTTGGAGGAAGTAATTACTTAAGTTAAATGAGAAAGACCAAATGGAGAAAAAGACTAAATAAATATCAGTGGTACTTAAAGTAGCTCTAGATAATGTTACATCTGTGAGGTGATTACAGACAGTTACTGTTGGTGGGATAAGTAGTTGGATGCATAGTTGGAAATTCCATGCATAGGAAGCAGCATATGCTACGCTCTGAAAGTTGGTCTTTTGCATAAGAAGTTTTCCTCTGTGCAAGATGCAGCAACAGCCGAAGAGCATCTGCACATGCCACAGAATGGTATGTTTACTAAAAATTTACTAAAACTAACTTTAAAATATAAACTAAGAATGCAAAATCAACAATACAAGTAAAATAAAATCAAGGTTGCAGGCAAGTGATACAATTTGATATCATAATGGGAAAATGGAATAACTGAAAAACAAGAAATACAAGGATGTTACTTTAGGCCATTCATAAGCCAAAGATATTAGAAGAATATTAGTTAAATTGATCTTCATATAACATCATGATTAGATGCAGCTTTATATAAAACAAATTGCTCTACCTCAACAATTCAGCTTATCCATCAGTGCAAGAAAGAAGGAGAAACAGTGGAATGTTTTTCTACATAAAACACTTTTCATTTAATACTTTTTCACACTAACAGACTTCCTCTAACAGAACATTTTCTGTGTGTGTGTGTGTGTGTGTGTGTGTGTGTGTGTGTGTGTATGTGTGTGTGTGTCTGTGTGCACGCGGGAGTGTTTAAGCTCTTTACCATGTCAACCAAATTTCACAGCTGACATGTAAAAATGATTTCCTTTCAACCTGCCCCTAAGTTCTGACTGCATTAACTCATGTCAGTGTATCAGTTGTGGTGTTTTTGACATTTATTTAACTAAAGCAGGTCAAATTAAAATAAGATTAAAAAAAAAAAGATCAAGTGAGAGAAATATCAGCTGACATAATCTTCATACATACTGTTGAGTCTCGGCGTTCCTCGATGGGACTGTCTTTAGGTGTCAGGTTGACGGCCAGCTCCAGAGTACCGAGGTCCTGATCAGGATACTGAGGGTCCTTCAGCACTAAAGTCACAGGTATCGTCCTGGAACACACAGTCATGAATATGTGCAGGTGTGTTTTCTGCTCTGCTTTCTGGCATGCTTTTTTTTTATAAGGCCAGTGTCACTACACGATGATTAGGTTCAGTAATTAGGTGCAACCTAATTCATTCGGTATTAAACGTACCTGTCTATGTAACTACAAATCATACCTATCAAATAGACTCCAAATTGTTCATGTAAATGGAGAGTCCTCTTCACACACACCAAGGTTAATTATGGAGTTCCACAGGGTTCAGTGCTAGGACCAATTCTGTTTACATTATACATGCTTCACTTGCGCAGCATCATCAGAAGGCATACTTTTTCATTGCTATGCAGATGACACCCAACCTTATCTTTCCATTAAGGCCAGATAACACACACCGGTTAGTTAAACTGTTTGAATGGCGTAAAGACATAAAGACCTGGATGACCTCTAATTTCCTGTTTATAAATTCAGGGGGGAAAAAGACACATAAATGTTTTAGATCGTCAAACAAATTAAAATATTAGACAAAGATAACACAAGCAAACACAAAATGCAGTTTGTAAATCAAGGTGTTTATTATTAAGAGGGAAAAAAAACAATCCTACATGCCCCTTCATGAAAAAGTCATTGCCCCTTCCTATTATAACATAAATTAACTGTGATGTATCACATCTTTTGGAAAGTTCAGCTCGAATAGGACCTGCCTGACAAAGCCTAAAAAAAGATCTTCAAAAGCCTTGATCCCCAAGACCTTTGTACAAATACTCTGTGGACTGACGAGATAAAAGCTGAACTTTTTGGAAGGTGTGTGTCCCATTACATCTATTGTAAAAAGTAACAGCATTTCAGAAAAGGAACATCGTACCAACAGTAAAATATGGTGGTGGTAGTGTGATGGTCTGGGGCCGCTTTCCTGCCTCAGAACCTGGAAGACTTGCATGGTACATGATAAATGGAACCACGAAGTCTGCTGTCTACCAAAACATCCTGAAGAAAAATATCCACATGGGCTCAAATTGTTGTCACCAAAATATGTAGTTTTTTGCTTTGTATCTGTAACCAGACCTTGAAAAAAATGTGTAACTTCTGTAAATATTTTTTACAAACAGACAAAAAAAATGTTATCTATGAATGCACAAACATAACATTTTCAGATATTTTGGTTTACAAGGTTATATAACTCAGTTCACAACTACGCAGTCTGATTTACAAGTACAAAATATTTATGACCACAGTTTGAACCCGGCCATCTGTTTGTGACCTCAAGCTGAAGCACACTTGGGTTCTGCAGAAGGACAATGATCTAAAACAGACCAGCAAGTCCACGTCTGAATCGCTTAAGAAAAACAAAATGAAGATTTTTGGGTGGCCTAATCAAAGTACTGACCTGAATCCAGTTGAGATGCTGTAGCATGACCTTAAAAAGGCGGTTCATGCTTGAAAACCCTGTGGCTGAATCACAACAACTCTGCACAACCAGTTATTAGGTTTAGGGGTTAATCACTTTTTCACTCTGGGCCATGTACGTTTGTACTTTTTTCCACCTTAATATTAAGCACCTCCATTTAGAAACTGCATTTTTTGTTTACTTCTGCTATCTTTGTCTAATATTTCTTCAATGATCTGAAACATTTAAGTGTGGAAAACATACAAAAAAAGGAAATCAGGAAGGGAGAAAACATTTTTTCACACCAATAAAAACATACATACAACAACATTTTATCTGTGTTTATTCTGTGTCTTTTTTCATTTCGTGAAACATGCAAAGAATTATTAAAATATTTCTTTATTATTTTGTTCTTGTTTTTCAGAACACAATGTTGGCACTAATATCTGACATACCTCTGCTGCTCTAGAGACTCCAGGTAAAGAAAAGCAGAACCCATGAAGTCATCCTGAAGGCCGAAGTCATAGTCAAACACCTGCAGAAGAGAAATAAACAATCTCCACTGACCAATGTTCATTAAGAATTTATATGGAAAAGCTGTGTATGTGTGTGTGTGTGTGTTAGTTCTAAGTCTTTACCTTGACATACAGAGGTTCATTCAGACTGTCAATGATTAAGGTCGTCTTCTCATCCCACACTGGGTTGAGGTTTTTATGGATGATTTTGCTCCTAAAAACCTCTTTGCCAGCAAGCTTGAACTTGACATATGGATCACTTGTTCCTACATCGACGAATAAAAATAGACAAATAAAGCTATCACACATGCATAAAAGCAAGAGCTGAAAAATGCAATTAACTACAGATGTCACTGCACCTCCTCTGTCTCGGACAGCCAGGTTGTGTCCTCTTTTCAGCTCGATCTCCAGCTTGTACATCCCCGACCGAGCTTGGTCAGAAGAAAACCCCGAAGGACATGAAGTACCCATTCCCTGTTAGCACAAATGAATGCATTAAATACATGCAATAAACTGCTTCTCTACAAAAGCCCTCTCAGCCACATCCTGACTTTAAACTCACCAACATTTTTTATGAGAAGTCTCTTCCAGCCTGTCACTGAAGTGTAGTTTCACTAACTCATGGTAGCTATCTACATCTAAGCTTACACACTTCCTCTGACCAAAGTGTCTAATTCAGCTTGGTATCTTGTCCCAGGGGTGATTACTAACAGGAAATTACATGAAAGAACCTTCCTCCTATCTGATCACAGTGCTGAGGTGCAAATTTTTTTCCATTTCCTAAAACTTTCATTGCGGTTGCAATATGATCACCTCTGTGGCAATGCAGAAACAGAATATAAGTAACAGCATGGGCACGAGTGGCCTAACGCTGCTTTAATACCTGTTATACAGTTTCTGCGAGACAGGACCGTTTAACTTCATTGAACATTTCTACACATATTGAAAGTGGAACTGTCACAGACATCTGCACTCTGCCACGCCAAAATCAACTATACATGGATATTTACAAAGACCACAGATGGAGCTCAGTCCATGGGTCAGTGGGACATGTTTCAGAGTCTGTGATCAGGGAGATTAATATAAGAACGACACAACTAGAGACAATAAATGACTATAAAAACTTACATACAAAGAGACACTAAATGACAGATATATAAACCTCATTTGTGGTCCCTGCATTGGCTGTGTGTCGTGACATGCTGCAGTTTTGTTATGGTATCACTATGCATCACTAAAACAAAACCCTTCCTTAATGCTGGTAAAGCCATTGAAAAGATCAAAACAGGAAGTAAAAGATTAAAGAGTTTCTCAGCATCAGAAAGCCTCATCTTTCCAGCTCCTGCACTGATAAATGATTAAAATGATGCTAAAGACTGACCCAGTCTCATGTTTGTGTCTTCCACCAGTTTGCATCTGCCTGCAACGATTCGCTTATTGAGTTCAGTCACTAATCCACAACTGAAAGGCACAAAACAACTACAGAGACACACAATACAACCATGGGTTCACCACTGTCAGTAAAACTTTACACATTAGATAATGTAATGTAATGTGCAGTGAGTCATTTAATTCTTAGGTGTTCTTAAAACACCATACAGGTGGTATAACTCATCTTATTTTTAATTGCTGGAATTATTTCCATGCAATATTAAAGCTAAGACACTTCATTGAAAACATGTATGTAAGCAATCACTGACAATGAAACATCAATCTGCATCCATCACTGCAAATGTAACACAACTACTCTGCTGGGAGAGCAGCATCCTGTCAACACAAGCACTTCCACTCAGAGAGATGCTCTGATCAATATTTCTACAATATGATATTATATATGAGCCCCTTACAGTGGACTCACTGGAAAACAAACTGAGCATGTGTACTGTACTGTACACATATTCACAGACTACTTACAATAAATTTTTGCATTGCAATATATTGAATAATGTAGTGACAGCTGAAACTAATTTTGATTTTTGAGTAACTTCTTGATTTGTCTTCATTAATGGTTCAGTTTGACAACACTGTGAAAAACACTGTAAAATACCAAAATATCTACATTTATGATATAAAATGGAAAAAAAACTGCACACTGCAGAAAGAAAATTGGCTACAGACAAGTTTGTGATCTAAGTTTTCTAATTGTCTGTTTTATTTAATTCAGTAAACAGGTGCTACATTTCTTTTTTTTAAATATCCTGTCAAGTCTGGCAGCTTTTGTAATCAGAATTGCGATCTGAATGTATTGTGGTACCAAACAAATGTTGCTTTTGCAAGAACAGCTATATAGAATCTCTATAGCCTCCTCTTTCTTTTGTGAATCTTCAATATTTATTTATTTCTATTTGTGTTACTTCAGTTATCACATTTATAGGCAAGAGAGCAAAAAGAGGAGGTGGTGGTGCGGTAGAGGAGAGATACGGGGAGATAGAAACAAATAGAAATGCACAATGTATCGCCAACTCCAGTACCTGTTAGAGACAAAACCACCCCTCTAATACGAGTTGAAAACAGGGTCCCAGGGCCCCAGACCACCCGGCAGAGCCCTCCCCCCCGATAAGGGAGATGTCCAGGCCACAGAGGGCCACCATGGGAGCAGCCCAGCGGCCACAAGAGAACATCAAGCCAACACCTTATTGTTCTACACTTTGGGACCAGAAAGAAGAGGAAGAAACTGAAAATCACTATGCAAAGAGAGTGAGTCATCAAAAAAACCTGAACCAGCAGAGCGCTGCAACTCAGCGCTGTACAGGGATGCTAGGTTGAGCTGTGGTTCACCAATCAGCTCGTTTGACCACTTAATTTGATTGAGTGAGTTTCTGTTCTTTAAAGATAAATCTCTAACACAGAGCAAAGGGATAAAATAAATTCAGTAAAAGTACAATAAAATCAAACCATCAGTTTTTTTTATTAGTTTGGCTAGTCGAAGTCTTGTCAAACATAATTATGAAGTAGCACACAGCTTCAGAGTTTCAAAGCTGTAAGATACAGCTTTGAATTTTGCAGCAAACTGTGAATAGAAAGAATTTTGTCAAATAAGTCAGAGCTTTTGTGACTATAGTTTGAAATTAGGATTTTGTGGTTAGAGTTTTTTGGGGGTTCTTTAATGGTGGAAGGTTTCGCATATTGTGTTTTAGCGAGGGTGAAATAAGGTGACTGAGTTAAGACCTTAAGTCAAGACTATGTAAATATACATTTACAAAAAAAACTGTGGTAAAAGTGTGATTTTATATTGATGCAGTGATGTAACAACATAAATTATAAACCACTTTTAAAGCTTTATAGCATCAAGTCTTACAGCTTTCCTGCCCAGCTATAAATCCGGTAGACACATTATGAAACACAGGCTTGCTTTCTGAGGGTGAAACTTCTGAAGTGTGCCAAGTTCTGCTCTGGCAAGCTGTGGAAATTCCACTGGCGGAAACAGAAAACATGATAATAAAGTGAGTGAGACTATCCTGTGTAACATGAGGAGGCTGAGTGTGTCAAGCTGTCTGTGTGGAGGCTGGATTGTTGGAGGAGGGCTGTTAAAGTCTTATGTAGCCTAGTCTCCACCCATAGCTGCATGTAACAAGTAGGGTAAGACATATGAAGAGATAAAATCCAACCAGCAGGCAACTCGTCTGAGTATAAAGTTTCCTGTGTCAATTTTACGTACTGTAAAATTACTGTGCCTGAGTCTTGAGCCACTCCTCATATCTTTACATGAGCTTTCTGAACGTCTTTCAAAGTCTTTCTTTAGACACTGGCTGCTCTTTCACTCGCTTTCAGTCCAGTTTCGCAGGACATCGCTTTTTCTTGTTGTTTGTCAAACCACTTAACTCTGACCTTCTAACTATTCCCAGATCAGTGTGGGTTCATTTTGTCAGAGAATCGACCAAAAGGCAGCGAACATCCAAAGAAGAAAACAAAGTCTATGTTACCTTATAAACTGTATGTGTTTTTCTATGTATATATTTTGAATAGCGAATGAAATGCAGACCTCCTTTTGCTCATTTGTCAGTGGTTGCGTTCATGATAAGGTTACATTGCATACTAAGCCTTTCTTGTCTGGATTTGGCTCCATGTTTCATGTCCTGTTTACATTAGGAATGAGTGCCTCTTTTTTAACTCATTATGAGAGCCCACTATTTGTGTGGGTTAACACAAGCATGTGCAGGTCATGTACAAAGGACAGTCTTGTGTAAAATGTAATCTACAGAGGTAGCTCTGGGTTATTATCACCTGGCTTTCTCTAAAATTACCTCACAATGCTGGAAGTGATTGACTGTGTGCCCCAAAATGAGTCACTGAGCACATAAACTCATCGGGAAAGTGTTTGGAGAGGTTAAATCCAAGGGCCGTTTTCCCACTGACTTCTGTAGGACCAGATGTCTGTTTACAGCCTAGAGGAATATACAGGAAGACAGTATGTCTTCCAGAATCCAGCTTTAATGCACTTCCACGTTGGCTTTGGGTTCAGATCCAGAAACTGAAATGTCCATTTTTTATTCTTTCTGTGATCCAGATCAAAGTACTGGATCACTGGTAATGTAGCCTTTTGCATGTTATTATCATCTTTTAAAACCTTGGGCATCAGAAGAGCTAATGACCTTTACACACCAAACACTTGAAACTCATGCAAATATTTTGTGTAATAAAAATTTTTCTCAGTTATTGTAGTTATTATAAAATGTAGCCATTTACACCGGCCATGAACTCTTGCAGAATTAATTTGCAGCATTTATTTTTTTGGAGTCATGCTTGATTTTTCAGATAAACAGATCTGACCAATCATACCGCTGCATTTGGCAACAAGCACACTCATAGCTCAAAGCCCACACCAGTACTGAATATGCAATGATATGGAAATCTTTTCGCAAGCCTCAACAGTTTCCCCTGTTTCAACTATTATGCTAAGCTAAGTGGATTCTAGCCTCAGCTACTTACTAAACACCCAGACAAACAAACAATAATTAAGTGTATTCCCAATGTCTGTTCCTTTGAGTTGTGAGAATTCAGGCCAGTTTTACACTTGGTGGCATTGGTGATTGTACTTTTGCTTTTAAAGCGTGACTGGAGAAAATCTGTGGTATGAAGACTCTTAGAAAATGTACCAGTCACATCTCTTGTGTGAAGCTGTTTGTTATCTCTCATCTTGGCAGTCAACAGCAACCATCTATTGCGGTGTTACTTTGGCTTTCATTGCAACAGCTCACAGGTTTTACTGCTTCATTGTGACCCAGCATTAAAACGTCTTTGCACACCCTGCAGCCTATCACTTTGGCCGGTATGAAAGACGAAACAGATGAGTATGGAGGCCAAAAAGTGCACAAACCCAGTCCGAGGCTGAATCAGGATGTTTACATTATATGACTAACACATTCTGCCAGAATTAACAAGCAGCTTAAGAAAGGCTTAAATGTCCTGTGGTACTAAATCAGGAAGCAAAGCGCCAAGCTGGGAACACCCCCAGCTACACCGATACATGTCTA